GAATGAGGTATTATGTAATTTCACTGCTATATTCCCTCTTGCCGTGTAGTTCCGGCATAGAATAGGCCACCCCTTCCTTTCCCGTGGGTGTCGTAACAAGCGACTGAGCGTCCCTGTTAAAATATATCCAACGCCTAACTCGGTTGCCAACCCACCCGCCAAGCGTGGCAACTACTGGCGAAACTTCCCAATAGAGGAAGGCCTATATAACAGAAAAAATATGTTACTTCTTTTATTTATTTTGCTTTTATTTCTTATATGTATTCTTTTATCCCTTTTTTATTACGTATATATTATTGTTGAAAATTCCGTAAACACACATTATATTTTAATGTAATAACTACCGGTTTAATTTACATGTAATAAGATCGAGAAAGCTCGACTACTTTCGGGATCAACTCGTAATCCTTAATCATGAGCGGCTGTGACATGAGTGCGAGGGGCTCGCGACATCGTCAGTGTTCGGAATTCTTCGGGTATAAATGGCTGAGTCCAATAGTCTTACTCTTCGTCTGCAGTGCTATTGTGTATATACTCGTATCTATATTTGTTGTTTTTTTTGTGCTGTAAGTAATACAAACAAATTATATATATATAACTATCTACTAATTAGACTCACATAAAGGTTAATTACATTCGTTTCTATTGTGATTCGTTTACCTAATTTAAACTTAATTCTAACCTTTGTGAGTAGAAAAATAAAAAAAAGTTTATATTTATTCAATAAAATAAAGGATATGTTTCAGCAATATAATGGAGTCTGGGCTTAGTCAATGAACATCATGTATAACGATATCTGTGTAGAAATACATTTAAAAACAAGCTTTTATTGTCCTCAGACTTCGTCATCAGGCTTTGGGCGTTACATAGGACCCATTACATAATCGTGTACTGTACAGTCAGCCATGCATACTTCACAAGTGCCTATAGCCACTTTCCACTGTCACCATTAGACCAATATGACAGTAACATCAATTTAGCCATTAATTGTCCACTGCTGAACATAAGCCTTTCCCATAAGGGGAATTTTGCCAGTAGATGCCATACTTGGAAGACGGGTTGGCAACTGCAGTTAGGCTTTTAGAGATGTTTTAAAAGGGACGCTATTGTTCAACCCTCTATGAATAACTTCCCTTAGTCGCCACTTACGACACCAACAAGAATAGAAAGGGTGATCTATTCTGTACCGACACCGTACAGAATTTTATAAGTACACTAAATTTTAGAAAATCATATGCTAAGTGATCGCGTACAACGCGGTATCAGAGATGTTTTCTCCCATGAACACCCAGGTTATGGAATGAGCTCCCTGCTGAGATTTTCCCAAGAGCATGGGGTTCTTCAAAAGCGTGGTAAAAAGGTTAATTCAGGGTCGGCAACGCGCGCGTAATACCCTCGGTATTGCAGGCTTTCATAGGTTACGGTAACCACTTACCAACAGGTGGGCCGTATACTTGATTGCCACCTCAGTGGTATAAAAAAATGCTAGTAAGTGAAAAATAATATATTGCAAATTTTGAAAAATTAATAAGATAATTATGAGCTTCTAAAAATGTTAATCTCAAGTATATTCGAATTTTCTCACAATTTCGCTTTGTTCTCTGTTACAAAATTAATTTTGAATTCAACATTTACAACACAAAGTCAAACATGGTGGCACATCAATTTCATTTTGATTGACACTGATTGTAGGAATGACGTATAAAGAGTGCTAATTAACTGTCAAATATGTCAGGTCTGACGATTATATTTTAATGTCGGAATTCGTATTTGTGTTTTGTTATATTTAATAAAATTAAACGTCTAATGGTGAATTTTTAGTTACAGTTACAGATTTGTTTCAATCTTATTTTTAAACATTCATTTTTTTTTTATACCACTGAGGTGGCAAACAAGCATACGGCCCACTTGATGGTAAGTGGTTACCGTAGCCTATGAACAACTGCAATACCAGAGGTATTACGCGTGCGTTGCCGGCCCTGAAGAAACCTCTTTACCTGAGTTGTATACATATGAGCTGACGTAAGTAAAAATAATAATAAAATAACGCATAATATTTTTATACCAATAAACTGTTTTGTTCATAAATTTCCTTGAATTTTTCGTTTTCTTTTTTTTTGCGTATATTTCTTAATCATCATTATCATCATATCGGCCAACTGTGCATTGCTAAACATAAACCTTCCCCTTAGGGGGTTTTGCCAGTAGTTGCCACGCTTGGCAAGCTGATTGGCAACCGTAGTCAATCCAAACTACTGACTTCCAAAAGCAGGAGGTTCTCAATCTACATTTTTTAGTAACAATACTATTATTAGGCTATGATACGCGATTATATCAACAATTTTGAACAGTTTTTCACAATACTTTATGCAATCTACAGTGTTCTATCCTGCGTTGGCCGTGTATTAATTTTGTGTCAATTGAAAGTGTTGTTTTTCTTTGTGGAGCAAAAATCTGGTTGCGAAGCAGATACCAATCGGATTTCCGTAGTAAGTCCGAAAGTATTGAAATCTCTGTCTTCAGTCGTACACTCTTGACAGAGTGGTCGTGGTTTTATTATGATAGTGGATCGTCGATGAGGCTCTTCTTCGCGACTGAGATCCTCTCAATGCATCTCCATCTATGTATTGAAATGCATCTTAACATTTCCAATTGAATCTCTTCTAAAAAGTGTTAATATAAAAAAAGATATTCACAGCTACCTCTGTCCGAGTAAACAGCCCAACTTCTTTTCAAACTTTCCGTTTGTTTATTGTTTGCGCTTTGTTGTTTCAAGTCGAGTGTTGAGTTGGCTTTGCCTTTTTCCCTTTCAAACTAATAATACAATGTTATTTCTACAATTACAAGTAAATGCTTTTACTTGGCAACTTTTGTTATATTGCTCGGAATAATAAACAAGCTAACGGCCTACATGATGCCTCCCAAGAATAGCCGTCATAATCCAATATGGGTGGGGGCGCGCCAATCTCTACTTGACATCTTTTCATGCATATTTTCATTCATAATTTAGATTAGCTTTCGTAAGCGTGGAAAGCAAAAGTAGGTAAACATATTTTTTGGCGAAGAAAAATGAAATATACATCAAATTTCAAGTTCTACACACAATACGGAGAATATACGACTGTGAAAACTGCATCTAAATTGGTGCAGTAGTTTCTGTGTGAGGAACAAAAATGCAGACACACTTATTTTTATTTTTATAAAATTTATTTACAAGAAACTTACCATGTTTCTTGTAAAAAAATAAATAAATGCAGTTCCAGTGATGCGACGTTTCAAATAAGTATCTCCATAGAATTTTATTTTGCGAATTATCTACCCTTAAAAAATAAACATAATATTGTCTGGTTTACAAATTGGGAATCTATAATTGGTATAAATATAATTTTTCTTTTTTAATTATTCTAGATATAAGCTGCTGATTTTGGATGTAATAATAAAAAAAAATATATATTTCGTTAAAAATAAAAATATTTTAAGAATAGAAAAATATACTTATTAGTATGCGGCGTATAAATAAGAGATTGTTTTTTTTAATGTTCCGTTCAGTTTTAGTTCGGAACATTCTCGTAAAAGGATTCTAATGATTCCGACATCACCCTGTATGTTATAGTGGCATGAAACGAAATACCGAGAAGCAAAAGATATTTACGAGTCATATACCGATGTTGGGGGTATATAAACGTCAGTCAGCTAAATTGATGATGTCCCAAAAATATGAGGCCGGATGTTCATAATGAACCGTCCGCGAGATGACAAGATAAGATGTGGATACTTCCTGTTTCGTAGGTCCATATTACACTATCAAATATCTTTACTAATAATAATTTAAATGTGTAAATTTGTTTGTTTGTTACTTCATAGCGTCTTAACGGCTTAACCAAACACTATGAAATTTGATATACATGTAGTATATAGCATGAATAACTCTATAATTTGGCTTATTCTTAATAATATTATAAATATGATAATAAATTTGTTTGTTATTACGTATTAGCACCTTAACGGCAAAACTTATTACTATGAAAATTACTATATTCTCATGCAAACGAAGTTGCGAGTAAAAGCAAGTTAATATTATGCATACATGAAATTTTGTAACACTATTTCATGCAAGAACTACGAAACCGATTTGAGTGGAATTGTACATGGTACATGAGAAGATTATATCCTAATTTGGTACATAGAATACTTTGTGTACTAATCCACGCGGGCGATGCCATGAGGCACGGCTAGTATCTGTAGCATGGGGTTCTTCAAAAGGGGGGTATAGAGGTTTCTTCAGGGTCAGCAACGCACGCGTACTACGGTACGCACTACGGTAACCGCTTACAATCAGGTGGGCCGTATGCTTGTTTGCCACCTCAGTGGTATAAAAAAAATATACCTCTATTCATTTACGAAGCTGAATTTACGAACCATTCTATTTTTAAAATAACCCGGGGGGCTTAAAAACTTGAAAGGTTTAGATCACGTGACTACAAACTGGCCTGCCTCTCTAGACAAGTGGTAAACGAATCCATCAATGGAACTAGGTTTAGATTACGTAACTCTATACTGGCCTGTTTTGTCTATGATTTAAGTCAAAATTCGCAGGACAGTTTAATTTAATCAAACTCTCACACATTCACACAGGCTGACATACAAAGATAATCAAATTGTAATTATTTGTGATTTTATTATAGTTTCGTTATCTACAGCGTGAAATTTAACTGGTTGATTATCCGCAACGAAAAGATTTGGTCTCAGTAGTACTATCGATTCCAAAATTGTATAGAACTGTCAGATTTCAAATGCCTAAAAAAAAGAGGGTAGCCGTACGAATAACATCAAAGTTAACTACGTCCGTAATGTTTTAATTATTTATATAGTTTAATTGCATTTATTCTATGTTTTAAATTGTGTAATTTACTAGCTCTGTAGCACTTTGGGTTATTAATTCACTAAATAGTATCACTTTCAAAGAGAAAAAAAAAAGAAGGAAACTTGATACTATTAATATGGATCTGTATTCGAAATTGAGTTCTAATATGGAGGCCATTGTTGACTTCTTTAACTCGCGGATGGAGCAAATGGAGCGAAGTATTCAGAAGCAGCAAACATCCAAACCCTCACAACCTAATTTCCAAACTTTGACACGCGAGTTCTATGATTTTAAGCAGCTTATTTGGAAATCAGTTGCAATGTTGAAAAACCAAATGAAGCTTAAGCTGATAAGTCTGGATCGTCATGAAAGAAGAAGAAATAACTAGAAGAAAGGTTTTATTATTGCATGGTATTCGAGAAAATACAGATGAAGATGCTAAAACTTTGGTTACGAAGGTATTCATGGATCAATTAAAAATGACGTCAGATTGTATCACTATGATATTTGTAGTTCATCTGCTTGGCTTTGGGCAAACTAAAGCAAGGCCTATTATGGTGCGTTTTAGAAGTTACACCATCCGTAATGAAGTTTGGAAAAGTAATAATATATAGCCAACGTTACTTTTTTTATCCAACTTAAAATGGTAAAAGAATTACAATAATTTAGGTTTTCCAAAAAAATAAGTCCAAATTATTTAATTTTTTTTTGAGACTTGGTAATGTGATTAAATTGCTAATTTTGAATTAATTTAAACAGTCACCGTGTGTCTTTACAAAATGAGGTCACATTTTGTTGGATTTTGTGATTGCTTATTGTGAAGTAAAATTATTATTTTTTTATGCAATTTAGAATGGCAAACAAGCTAATGGCCCACCTGATGGAAAGTGATATGTGATAGTAAAGATCTTTGAATTGTCTTTTATGCAACTTAGCTGACAGCCCACCTGTTACCAAAGTAGTAATCGTCGCCTATAGACATGAGCAGTACCATGCACATAGTATACTGTTTCGCCCAAGATACCCCCTATGTCACGTCACTTGCTGATAAGCTTTCTATAGATGAAAAAAAATTTGTATTTAAATTTTGTCAAGCTAGTTTTTAAATGTAGATATAATTTTCATTTATTTATTCTTTATTGCACAATAAAACTGTATACAAATAGCGAACTAAATGCCACATGACATTCTCTACCAGATAACCATTAGGTAAGAACGGAAATCGTATGGAGAAAAGCAATAGAAAAAATGTGACTTCATTATTGTATATCATCATCATCATATCAGCTTTTAACTGTCCACAGTTGGACATAAGCCTTCCCCGTAAGGGGAGTTATGCCAGTAATTACCACGCTTGGTAGGCAGATTGGCAACCGCAGTTAGGCTTTATGAGGGACGATGCTGCCCATCTCTCGCTCTCTAGTCCCGCCCTTAGTTACGAAACCCACGGGAAAGGAAGGGGTGGCCCATTCTATGCCGGAACACACACGGTTAACAGCTTTATAATTTATACTCTATAAGAATATAACTTTATATAGGTGAGACAATTTTTGAAGTCAGTCTTTTTTTTTACAACACAGGGGGCAAACGAACATGCGGCTCACCTTATGGTAAGTGACTACCGCCGCCCATGATAACTCACAACACCAACGGCATTGCAGGTGTGCTGACGGCTTTTTAAAAAGGAATATGCTCTTTTCTTGAAAGTTTTGATGTCGTATCGGTTCGGAAATATTGCTGCTGGAAGTTAAATTATTCGTTACATACAAATAAATAATCAAACCTTTCCACTTTATAATGTTATTATAGATGTGAATAGTAAGTAGATACCAGTTTTCAATACTCTTTAGCGCTCTATTATATATATATATATATATATATATATATATATATTCTTTTTAATACTCATAAATACAATATCAACTGGAAATAAAGGTGAACTTATCTTTAACAGAGGTACTTTCCAGTCAACTTAACACTGAACATAGGAAGTCTCGAGTGAGCATCAATAGCGCTAAAGAGTATTGAAAACTGGTATCTACTTACTATTCACATCTATAATAACATTATAAAGTGGAAAGGTTTGATTATTTATTTGTATGTAACGAATAATTTAACTTCCAGCAGCAATATTTCCGAACCGATACGACATCAAAACTTTCAAGAAAAGAGCATATTCCTTTTTAAAAAGCCGTCAGCACACCTGCAATGCCGTTGGTGTTGTGAGTTATCATGGGCGGCGGTAGTCACTTACCATAAGGTGAGCCGCATGTTCGTTTGCCCCCTGTGACGTCAGATTGTATCACTATGATATTTGTAGTTCATCTGCTTGGCTTTGGGCAAACTAAAGCAAGGCCTATTATGGTGCGTTTTAGAAGTTACACCATCCGTAATGAAGTTTGGAAAAGTAATAATATATAGCCAACGTTACTTTTTTTATCCAACTTAAAATGGTAAAAGAATTACAATAATTTAGGTTACATACAAATAAATAATCAAACCTTTCCACTTTATAATGTTATTATAGATGTGAATAGTAAGTAGATACCAGTTTTCAATACTCTTTAGCGCTATTGATGCTCTTTTCTCGAGACTTCCTATGTTCAGTGTTAAGTTGACTGGAAAGTACCTCTGTTAAAGATAAGTTCACCTTTATTTCCAGTTGATATTGTATTTATGAGTATTAAAAAAGATATATATATATATATATATATATATATATATATATATATATATATATATATATATATATATATATATATATATATATATATATATATATATATATATATATATATATATATATATATATATTATCCTGTATTAAATACTTGTTGCACTGCAGTGGTTTTGCCTGGGATTTGCGGGAATGAATAAATTTTTTTCTATACAACTTAGAATGGCAAACAAGCTGACGGCCCACCTGATGGAAAGTGGTAACCGTCGCCTATAGACATGAGCAGTACCATCGACATAACAGAGTATACTGTTTCGCCCATGATACTCCCCATGCTTTGCTATTCTTGAGGACTAAGGTGTTATTCCTCTGTACCCAATTAATTCACGCCATATCCCACCCTTCAAACCGAAATACAGCCATGCAAACACAACTGCTTTACGGTTGAAACACGAATAGGACAGAGGTACCCAAGCAATCGACTTTTGTATAAAGTCTCTCTCTGGTAATACATAAAGTATCCTATGTACTAAGTTTGGATACAACCTATTTGTGTCCCAAATTTTATTCAAATCCATCTACTAGTTTTTACGTGAAATTGTAACATCTATAAAAAATATCTAAAGTAACATGATGTCACGCATAGCCACCACAGAATATCAGCGCTGTAGCAATTAATTCGCTGCAGCACATGCTGAGTGGCGGCCATCCTGTATTAAATAATTATTGGGCTTCATTCCCGCGGGTGAAGCTGCTGCAGTGATTTTGCCCGGGATTTGCGGGAATGAATACATAAAGTATCCTATGTACTAAGTTTGGATACAACCTATTTGTGTACCAAATTTTATTCAAATCCATCTACTAGTTTTTACGTGAAATTGTAACATCTATAAAAAATATCTAAAGTAACATGATGTCACGCATGGCCACCACAGAATATCAGTGCTATAGCAATTAATTCGCTGCACCACATGCTGAGTGGCAGCCATGTTGCCAATAACAAATGTAAAGTTTGTTTTCTATCGATAATATAATTAATGTAACTCTTTTTGTTGTTGGCAACAAATGTTTTCTTTTTTTCTTATATTCATAATCATCTATCCTTTTTTAATTCTTGCGAACTTTTCCATTTATAATATTATATGTCAGTGTAATATATTCCTTATCCACAGAGAACGTTTTATATGAAACTAGCTTTTACTTGGGACTTCGTCCGCGTGACCGGGGTATGTTCACTGACCAGGATAAAAGTAGCCTATAACCTTCTCTATCCCATATAATCATCATCATCATTTCAGCCATAATACTTGCTGGACATAGGCCGTCCCATAAACTGCTATAAGAAATGATCCTGAGCCACCTATATCCAGTCAGTGGATATGAGTATGTAATGTAATGTATTTGAAGTCGTCCCTCCATCTAGCGGGGGGTTGTCCTACTTCCCATATAGTACAATATAGTAATTTTCATAGTAATTGGTTTAGCCGTTAAGGTGCTATGTACCTAATAAATTTTTGGTTGGTACAGTTATAGTTTTTAATATATTTAATAGTTTTACTTTAAAATATATATATAATAATAAGATTTACAGCATAACAGTAAGACAGTCTTATAGTAGTAAAGTGTAGTGTCACATAGAGGGCGTCTCGACCGAGCGATTAATATAAAATTTCCAGGGTAGTATGGTGACTGTTGCGCTGTAATAATTTACACAGCCTACCCACTACGTTTATTTCGGTCCGCCATTGTCTAGGCATGCGTTAGTGTTAACACAAACAAATTCACTTTCAAATTTATAATATTAGTAAGGATAAGCCAAATTGTGGGTATTTTAAGTATGCAAATAAGAACACAGTTCTATGTACGTTCAGGACAATTTAGAAAATGAATAACTAAATTAGGTTGCATTAACTTAGTAGGGATTGTATCGCTAGATGTTTCTTGTTTGACTTTTCTCTATAAATAAAAAAGAAAAAAAAGTATCGACAAGAATATAAAAAAAAAACATATAAATAAAATGTCTCTCCTAACTCATCGAGTAATAACTGCATTTAGATTAATTTTCGCTCCCAGTTAGAATACTTCCAGTTGAATAAATATATAATTTGTAAAAATGTTTAAAAATATGCTTTTATAAGTACTTTACATATGAATTGTTAAACTATCTATTTAAAAATTTATAATTTTCATACATACATTCAGTGGGGAACGCGCGACTTACTAATTTTAAAACACACAATTCCGCATTCTAAATTCAAATATTTTAAATGTAATGTAAACGTCTCTATGTCCATTCCACATTCTAAATTAAATATTTTAAATACAATGTAAACGTTTCGATGTCCATTTTGCATTCTAAATTTAAATATATTAAATCTAATATTGCTCCGTGTCTAATATATCAATAATTGTATTGTTTATTGATACAATATACAGAGCATTGAATATCAAAAATGGGTAAAACTTAAATCAGATAATAAGGGGCATATTTTTTTTTCAAAACAAAACGCAGTTTTCTTTTTAGTTTTGTAAGTAATTCGTTTAAAAATTTTCCAGATTAGGTCAATTTTTATTCGGATTTGTTTTTCTGATATAATA